CAAATTGAATGCATGTGAACACAGCATGTGTTTGAGTAGTTACTGTACTGGGGAGACAACTGGAGAAAAACATTGACTTCTTTTCCATGTTATTTGAATGATGTCTTGCAAAAAAAAAAAACCCTTTGGGTTCTTCTACCAGTTCTGTTTCGGATAGATAAGTCCAAGCCATCCTAGTTTACAACAACAAACTATTCTTCCTCTAGCACTTGTATGGGATTAGCTTTCTGTAGGATCAAGTATGGCTGGTGACTCTGGTGGGAAAGGCAGCTCAGGTTTTTGGGTGCTAAAGATGTGTAGCCTCAAAATAGCATCGCCATACCTTTTGTGTTCTGGCTAAAGTGAAAATAGAAATGATAAGGCTTGACTAAGACACAGAACATTCCCATAGAGTAGAATGAAAACTAAATCAATTGATTCTTACACACATGACATTGCTTCTATGGCTTGTAAAACATGGCTTTTAAAATGGTTTAATGTTTAAAACTACTAGGTCAATTAAGAACGTTGAAGTAATAATAGGATTGGGGGGCCATCTCTGGATTTTTACAACAGACTGGCATATTATGTACATTTTTGCTCAATCTATTGTTTATTGACTAAAATCATACTAGGTTTATATAATATACAAAGTTGTAAACCATGCTGATAAATAATGGCTTGGTTTGGCAATAACACTTAGACTTATACTGCTTCATAGTGCTTTACAGGCCTCTCTAAGCAGTTTACAGAGTCAGCATATTGCGCTCAACAATCTGGGTCTTCATTTTACTGACCTCGGAAGGATGGAAGTCTGACTCAACCTTGAGCTGGTCAGAACTGAACAAAATCCTCAGTCAGCAGAATTAGCCTGCTTCAGTTCTGCAATCTAAGCATTGCGCCACCTTGGCTCTTAATTTAGTTGACATTAAGCTAAAAGCAAACCAGATTGTCCCATTTTACAATGTGAATAACATTTTCTTAACGGGGGGGGAGGAGCTACCTTAACTTTAATGTATTTACTATTTCCTAAACTAAACCTTGGCATGCTACATTTGAGTGGACTTACCACAGTGGGCAAAACTGTTATAGGTGGCACAGGACTTTGATACAGAGATGATGTGTGGGTTCCAATATTCCACGTAGTCATTCTGGATTCCTTTTCCTTCTTTGCACCTATAGAGGCAGAGTGGAGATCATTTTATTATTGTAAGAGAGGAGCACCATGAAAATCTTGATTCCTGAAGAGAATCATAGCTTCAAGACATCTAAAACACCAGCACATACCTGCAAACATCACTTCACAAGATTCAAACCGCTTGGTTAGTCTGAACACAGTCCAGGCAGTTAACCATTGTTCACTCCCTAATGATGGATAATGGGAGGTGAATTTGTTGTCCCAGAATGCAGATGCTTCCCTTCCATTGGGGCAGTGATAAAAGCGAGCAACAAGGATCATATCTTCTTGTGGCAGAACATCCCAAAATATTACCTGAGAGGAGATCAAAAGAAATCTACAATGTTCAGTAGAAAGATGTATGGCTCCAATGTTTCCGCCATTGCCCATCCATTCCTTCTATCATTGCTTTAAATAGGTGTTTGTCACCACAAAATCTATACAGGTAGTCCTCAGTTTAGGACCACAGTTGAGCCTAAAATTTATGTTGCTAAGTGAGTTTTACCCCATTTTATGCCTTTTCTTGCCACAGTTGTTAAGTGAATCACTGCAGTTGTTCAATTAGTAACATGGTTGTTAAGTGAATCTGATTTACCCACAGACCTAGAAACATTCAGTAATACCCTTTCCCTTTTCACATATTGTGCATGACAATGAATTGCAAATAAATCCAAGCAGTTGCCATGAGAGAGCTCTACAACCAGTGACACACATGTAAAAGAATTTCTTAACAAAATGGGGAATGGAGACCTGAAAATTGAGAGGCAGAATTGGAAATGCTCACCAGCAATCTCTGCAAAGCTTCAACATTGCAGACCAAGAAGAAATGCCTTTCGCAAGAGTAGGGAATTAATTACGGCTAAGTAGGTAATTGTATAAATTTGGTGCAATGGTTAAGGTACAGGCCTAGAAACTGGGAGATTGTGAGTTCTAGTCTTGCATTAGGCATGAAAGCCAGCTGGGTAACTTAGGGCAAGTCACTCGTTCTCATCCCAATTCACCTCACAGGGATGTTGTGAGGAAAATAGGACGAGAAAGGAGCATTATGTATGTTCACCACCTTGAGTTACTTATAAAGTAATAAAGGCAGGATGAAAATTGAATATGTAATAAGATCTTTCAGGGGCAAAGCTGATTCTGGAACAGTATAAAGATTTCCTGTAGAAATATAAGTCCCACAATCTGAGCCTTCTGCATACCTGTTCTTCTCCAAATAGGAAATAACTGTGTTTAATATCTGATCTGATGAAATTAGTGCAATAATTAAATCCTGAATTGCTGGTGCAAATCACCTGAGAGGATCAAGAAAAATAGAGTTCATCTCCTTGCTTAAGTCATTTAATACATTTCTTATATTTGAGACAAACGCTTGGATGATTCTATTCCAGTAAAGCTTAATAACATGAATTGCAGACTACAAAACGTGAGGGATGCTATAGTCCAAATATACATTATGGACCTTGGATAACCAATCCAGCTGTTCTGAATTCACTTACATATAGATGCTTGTTAACTCAAAGTTTATGATTTATAGAAAAGTCTTGATAAAGTTACATTAGATTACAGTAATTGTTAGCTCTTCTTGTTTCTGGCTAGGCTTCAGGCACCTCACAAGCTGCAGTTGACAATATACCGGTACTCTTCTGCATCTAATGGGTGCCAATGTAAGAAATTATTGTGTCAAATTGTTTCATCTATTCAGTACAATATTGTCTATTGTCTGGCAATAGATCTCAGGATTTTAGACACATCTTTTTCAGTTCATAAAAATACCAAGAACTGTGCCTTTTGAATGGATGAAATATGCCTTTCTCCCATAGAAAAATTAGAACGTAAGAGCATTTAAGCCAAATCTTCTAGATATGCATAAGTGCAACAAGAATTCAAATATGCCTAAACTATACATAAAAGAATAAATTTGACTTAATAAGAAACACTGTAGAAATTGATACTTACACATCACAATGGCTACCTAAATTAACTTCCTTTATATACCTAGACATAAAATACAGATGTATGAACTTATATTTAACTTGCATGCTCTTCCATCTTCAAATTGAATGATATGCCACATTAAAATTCAGTTTTTAGAACACATTTAAAATGTGATTGGCAGTGTGTAAACTTGAACATTTAGGCTAATTCAGTAAGTCACAGTTCAGTAAACTAAGGACTAACCAATGATAAATTCACACATTTGCTACCTACCTGACCAGTTTTCTGATGGTAACCTGTCAGCCGGATGGCCCCTTTGCCTGGAGGGGCACCTTTCACTCTATCAAGAATGATTCCCAGTCGTATTTTTTTTGGCTGCCTGCAGTTTCTCTGCTCGGCAATTGGACTTGGGGGTATTTTTTCACCTCTGCTGGAATTATTAGATGCTGATTAGCTCAGATATTCTTCTTCCACATCTCACGAAATAATATGTACCATCTTTATCAGGCCCCAGGGGGAAAAATAATTTTCCACCAAAAAAACCCTAAGAAAATAAATCTTCCTACATGCAGAGAGAGAAAAAAATTAATCTGAAAATCAAATTGCACTGAATCTTTACCTGGAATAGGCTGGAGAAGCCTCTGATCTGTTTCTAGGTGCTGCCAATGCCACAGTCAGGAAAATAGTGTAGTGGAAGAAGAGGGACACGAACAAGGAGGGGGGTTGTGTGTGTGTTGAATATGAACAGAGCACAACATTAAAGTCCAGAAGATTCTTTAAGAAACCCAGTACATACCCATTTGGATGTTAGAGAGCAGAGAGGAAAGTGAAAGGTAATTTGTGATATAGATGTACAGATAGGTACAATGTACCTATGTAACAAATTGGAACATAGGAAGAAAAAACAAGTAATTGATCAATTAATCACTGCATTTATTTGGAAAACTATTGGGCACAGCAAAATAAACCCCAAAGCAATAACAAAGAGTAAACCACACACAACAAACGAGCTAAAGTCAGAGTAATCTAGAATAAGCTAACATTAGAAAGTTCTAATTTAAATCATCAGGAATTCAGCTATATAGTTGTATATCACTGTGGTGCCTTTTTCAGTCAGACAATTTATAACACTGGTCACTGATCATAACCACAGCTATGGATATTCAATGAGAAGCTTTCCGATAACAACTGTTTTGAAAACTTCACAGTTACTCAGGAGACTATTTATATACATTTGTTTGTAAGTTGCCTCTAGATGGGATGGGCAGCAAAGAAGTCAAATAAATAAACAAATAAATAAAAAATGTTCACTAGTATTAGGGACTTTTTTTTTTTTTTTAAAGTTGCTTAATAGTTTAAAAGGTTTTATACCGCAATTATCTCTTCAAAAAGCAAATTATAGCCTATTTATCTGAAAGTGAGCTCCACATAATTTGATGGGACTTAGTGCTTGATAGTTAGATATAAAAAGTGATGTAAAGGATCTTAAAAATGTTTTTTTCACATACTACCCTACTGAATTGAAAAGGTGCCTGTAATCTGTGTAGCACGCAATTTGCATAATCACCTTGTCTTCCCCATCGCATCTCTATTTAAATCCTACATCAGGTTACACATGCCCCTGATGGTGTGCTGTGGCACTCAAAGGCTGATACCTTTAGTTAATCTGGAAAAAGTACTACGTACTTCACCAGATTGCCTGATTTTTAGCTCAAAGAAAAGGGTGCGCCATTAAGATTTGAAATATAATGTTTCTTTACTTTTGATGTGTACTAAGTAGTTGCCAAACTGCTGAATATAAAGTGAAGTATATGTCTTATTAGAAAGATTTTTTTTAATTTATTATAACAGCTTTTTAAACAAACCACAAACAGGGCAGGGGCAGGGAGCTATATTTCTATGCTGATTTGTTTTAAAATTGAAAGGAAAGAAATCTTGGAGGGAGAAAACAGTTAATCCTCCTTTTTCACCTTTCATTAGTTTTTAGCTGGACAGACTTTTCTTGATTAGGAGGAGGGTCAACTAAACCAGTGTAAGGAGAAGCAGAAAAGGACAGGCTGGTGGGGGCAGGATGGAAAGAATGCTGGGTTGGAGGAAAATCGATAGGAGGCGCTGTGGAACTGGATGCCTGTGTAGGAGAGAAGAGAGCATAAGAGTATTATTGTAAGCAGCATGTCGATAGGAGAGCTGGTCTCCTCTCAAAAAATAAAATAAAATAAATGTAAGTCTGTTATCTTTGCTGTAACAAACCAATGCACTTTAACTCTGAAGATTGCAACTCTGCTCAAGAGCTTACAACTTTATTGTTTCAAATATAAATGTGGAGTTGCTGGCTTTTTTCAAGCTTACTACCTTAAGTTTGTAAACGCTTCTTCTCTTGGAAAGTGATATAAAATAATACAGTAGAGAGGTTCTTTCTACAATAGATGTTTCCTAAACATCCTTATTGCTGAATACAGCCATGGTCCAACAGAATGATATTTTGAGTCTTCCCGTTTCATACTAACAACCACTACCGAGTTTTCTGTCTCAACACATGCTTTTTATATTTTCCAAGCAAATGCATGGTCATGCTCATTGTTGCCTTTTTGGCAAATGGGGAAGGGCTCACTGTCTAAAGAATATTTCAGTCTTCCCCTAGCACAGAAATTTGCACTACCAGTTTGGGGAACTAGAGGATTTGAATGGGTCCTCTGTATTCTCCAAAATGGCAGTTCTTGCAATTGTGTGATGCTAGAAGATCCAGTAGAAAGAAAGTATGACTGGGGTAGTTGCTAACTAGGTTAAAAATATAGGATCAATCTGACTCTCTTGACACTTTGAATTAGCAGCATGTCTGGAAAGTGCTCTCCTATCCTATGAATTTGGATATTCGTGTGTATTTGTTTCTCAAAGAAGTTCTCTTTTCAAGTACTAGGATTAGACGCGCATCCACACACAGATGCTTAAAATGCCAAAAAAAATGGGTTACAGTTGCAGCATCAGGAGCAAACTTGAGCATGCATAAATATTTAGAAGGAAGGCAATAAGTAAAGTTTTATGTGCAAAAGAAATTAATTGTTCCAACTGTTCCTATTTGGTATATATTTTGTTTCTGACATGGCAACTCACTGTAGGAGGGTATTTATATAAGGAAGCACTGCCAGGTTGGATGTCAGCCATTGATTGCAAATCAGCATCTCTTGTGTTCACCAGCCGCAAATAAAGCTCAGTTTTGCCAACCTGAGAAATTAAAGGGAATTTTATATGATCAGAACAGACAGATGAATGCAAACACGATGGGTTGAGCATATATAATTTGATACATTGCCAAAGATCAGGTATTCTAAGAATGAATAATCAATTTGAGAATCAGTGGTAGACTGGATGAGATCTGGCAGAGAATCTGTCTAAAATCACAAACACAATAAATACTAAGAAGCTGGCTATGAAAAACTACTGGAATACCTTTTTTATAACTAATAATTGTTTGGGTAGGAAGGCTGTTGCTCTGCTCTGCTCTATTCCTTCTTACCTGGGGCACACCATTCAACTGTTCTTCAGTAAGACTTGGTTTTATAGGAAGTAGTCGTATAGGAACTTTCCAATGCCCACTCATCACTTGGTGCAGGTGGTCAAAAATGTGGATTTTAGCCCATCCTCGGGGAGCCAAATTCTGGATTTCCTGCCCATAAACATCAAAACCTCCAGAAGCCTGAAACTCAGCTACAAGGCTGATAGAGGTTGAAGGAAGGATTCTGAAAAACACAGGAAATCCACAATAGTATGGCCACTTTTGATGAAGGATCCGATGTATGTCTGTTTCATAATGTGCTGTAGCATAGACCATGACTTTTAAGAAAATATACACAGTTAGTGTAATGTTACCTCCTAAATAGGAAGAAGCAGAATTTAGCAAACCTGAAACTGGATGAAAAGAAGTCATTTTGTGCATATTTAGATTACATATTGTTCCCAGTGCAAACAAGCCGAAACTTTTCAAAAGTTCTTAGAATAAATCTGACATATTAAAATAATACTACAAGGTATACTAAACAATCTATGGTACCTCATGAATATAGCCACAGAACAGAAATGACAGTAGTTGGCACTCAGTTGGAGATATAGAAATATTAAATAGCAATACTATATTATTCGATATTTTTACTTTGACAGCCTTTAACTTTACTTTGTACTGCTATTAAGAAAATATTTTTCTAGAATTTAGAAATAATTTGTACAGTTACAAAACCATAGTAGAATTGCCAACTGAATGGCTGTCCACACAATTACTTGCTGATTAAAAAAGATGTGACATGATGGAAATAGCTTGGAAGTTCACCTTGGGACTGGCTGTCTAGCTGCTAAGATGGCACAGCACGCTCTTTGCCTGTCCATCAGAGACTGTGGAGAGTGGCCCATATCAGAGGAGACAATGGGAAGAGGTGTGGACTTCCCTAGTTGCTGCCCATTACGATACAAGCCAGAGACCAGGCGAACATGGTAGAACATAGGATCCAATCCCAAAAGAAAATCATAGAATATTACAAAACCAGATCTGTAGAGAGAGAATAGAGTTAGTTAAATTCATAGTATTCCATGTTGCTACTTTTTCTATAGAGCTGGATGAGAACCATCATACCCAAATAGTTTGATCAAAATCACTATATGCTTGGATGGAGAAAGAATAGAAGGATGAGTATATTTACTTCGTGTGAAAGTGGCCACTTGATTTTTTAAAAAACAAAATATTTTATGCAGCAGTGATTTCTAATTGCAACTTATTTAGAAAAGACTGTCTGTACATGTGCATGAATGTCTCTCAGGACTGAATATTATAGGTTACAGTACTACATACACTGGATCATATGGAGCTGGTCCTAGTGTGTCAGAGGGATCCAGAAAGTACTGATTTGTTCCTGCAGCAGATGATCCCATGGGATTCTATAACAAAGAGGACATTTATGAATTTTATCAGCAAAATCCAATTAATTCTTTAACAGCATATCCTAAACAAACATATCCACCAAGGACTTCTTCTAACATGCTACTGTCTGGAAAGATTAAATGGTAGACAAATTGTGGTCTACCCCTCCAGGCACTTGTGAGCTGCGTTCATTACCAGACCCCTGTGATACCCACCCCACTCCATACCTATGAACTGTTTAAAGTGCCCTTGTAAAAAAGCATTAATGGCAAGTTGTGTCCTTTTATTCCCCACATATGCAAGCAGGAAATCCCCCTGCCCACACGCACACAGAAGACCTAAAGCAATGATGGCGAACCTTTTAGAGACTGAGTGCCCAAACTGCAACCCAAAACCCAATTATGCATCGTCGGGTGCCGGGTGGGCATGGCCCATTGGGTGGACATGGCTGCGGTGGTAACGGCAGACTGGGTGGGACTAAAAAGTTTGATCAATCAATTCCAACTTTGCGAGATCTTTTTTTTCCCTCGAAAAGATGAAATTGACTGATTGATTGAACCTTTTTTTTTTTTGTACACGGCGGCAGAGGCCTAAAACGAAAAGGTTTTATAAAACCCAATTGAAGGCCCAGGACTGGGGCGACGGCACACGTGCCCACAGAGAGGGCTCTGAGTGCCGCCTCTGGCACCCGTGCCATAGGTTTGCCACCACTGACCTAAAGTGCCACCTGCACCTGCAACCTTGATAGTACCTGTTTGGAAAAATGCCTGGCTGCAAAAGTATGGTGTTATATCATAATCACACTTTCAGATGGAATTTATATATAGAGATATTGATATCTTCACATCTGAGTAGCCAAACTGTTTTCCTGAAAAGACTAAGGATCAGTAGGATATTTTTCCCCACATGGAGACTGAAGTTGAGAGAATATTTGTTATTACTATTGACTGAATTATTATTTTTGCACTTTGCTGTTATTTGGCAGGAAAGAACAGTGACTGGCTCATAGAAGTCCATGCCTATTCTCAATGCTCTGAAGTTAACAGGATTTAAGATGCAATAGTTGCAAATATCACCTCCCAATGACCCTGGCCTGAGATAATCTCCCCATTACAGGACCCATCATCAGCCTCTCACTGAGGACTCACCCTTGACCCACTGATAATTCACATCTTCCAACGACCCTGACCTGAAGTAACCTACCCATCACAAGACCCATCACAAGCCTCTCTCTGATGACTCATCACAAGACCCTCCCTTGACACACCCACACCTGAAGCCCTTATAAATAGAAGAGCACTGGCACAGACATCCCCTAAACGAAACTGAAGATGTTACCTAACCTGGTAACGAAACGTTTGGAAACCAACCCTCAAGCTTGGAGAACGAACCTTCACCCTCAGGATTTAAGATGATTAGATGGTTGAATTTAAGATGCTTGGCAATGAATTTACAGCAAGTTTTTAAAAGAAGAATTTTTTTTTTGCCTCAGTTGTTTCTCCTAGGTATTACACATAATCTGGATGTAAAAGAAATGAATTTGATGTTGTATTGTTTAACTGCTGCCCGTTTGCTGATAGCTCAAAACTGGAAGAGTAAAGCTCTACCTACAATAGAGGACTGGAGAGTGAAGGTTTCGCATCTTGCTGAAATGGCAAAGATTTCGGCTTATTTGAAGGATCATTCAAATGAACAATTTTTATCAATATGGAGAAGATGGATTGTTTATATTCAAAATAAGCATAGAATGGTGGAATATAGGTTAGGTTTTTAGATAAAAAATTTTTCTCTTTTTATACATACATATATATTTCACCTACTTATGTAGAATTACATTTTGTGGAGTTAGGGATATTAATATAAGGTTACTTTTAGATGAATAGTATCCTGGGATTAGGTTTGGGAAGTCCGGGTGGGGGGGGGGTTTCAATTGTGATGTACTTGTGTTGTGTTTTTTTTTATGTTGAAAAAAAAAAAAAAAAAATTTGAAAAAAAAAAAAAAAAAAAGATGCTTGGCAAGGACTGGAAAAGGAGAACCGTGCCATGTGGAAGAGTTCTTAAATGCAAAACCAGTTCTGAGACATTGAAATTTGGCACCATAATACTTTTTAAGATGAACATATAAATGCAAAAATGTCTTGCTATATTCTTTTTCCTCTTCCAGTAGTTAGTAGGTGTATTTTTCAATATAACATTGAACACATTTTATGGCATGCCATCACTTGAATCAAAAATATCTGTAAATAGGGATCTGTAATTGTGACTAATTATGGCAGCTGATTTTTCAACTCAGCAACCAAGGGTCAGCGGATGCTAAAGCAAATTTGTTGGAAAGAGAAATTGCAAGATTTTCTTGTATATTCCCTGAGGCAAAGTATTGAAATAAGGGAAGAAGGAAGGAAACTATGGGCAAAACTGCACTACAGCCACTCATTGTATAGATTGTGTGTCCTGCTCATTTTTCCAGAACACTGTTTCCTTTACTACACATTAACTGAGAGTTAAAGTTAATGAAATCATCACAAATATGACAGAAAAATATTGTCATAAAAGCTAGAGATCAAAATTTGAATTTCATTCAAAGCCTAGATTCATGATCCATCCACTGAACTTGAGTTGAATTTAGAAAAAAACAAGTCCCATCCTAGAGAAAACTCTGCCTACTTTCTCTGTGCTTATAGGAGCAATGTTTTCTTGCCTTTCTTTGTTAGAAAATATGCATTATAAACAAAAGCACAGCAGATCGTGCAGATCAAAGAGTTCTATATAACTGCAAAACCTCTTTCAAATTTCTCCAGGGAAAATGGCACTCACCATATTTCTAGTCAGAATGGTGGGATCAGGGAATCCAAGGTGAGGAGGAGGAGGAGGTGGCAGAGGTGGTGCTATAGGAGGTGGCAGAAGGGGTGATGATCCCCTTCGAGGCCACTGAAGTTTTCTTCTTTCAGTTTTGTGTCTCAGCCTGCCAATCTCAGCATGTAGCTGAGCCATTTCTGCCATGTGTACTTCTTGCAACTTGTCCAGCTCTAAGTCCAAAGAACCTAATGAAAATGAACAACACACAAAAGCTCATTAAATGTAGCATTGTATCCAATGACGGGGCGTGGAGAGTTTGACACCCATGTTTTATAGGATACTTTGAGGTGCTGCAGCTGCCCATGCTAGCATTTAAGATACGTGCAGACAGAATAACATTGACACATGTTCTACCAGTTTGTCCTTCTAGTTCATTTAACTAGAAACTGTAGAACCATTTACTGGCCTTTACAACAATTCAAGGTAGATTAGATGAGGAAACCAATGACATGTAGGTGAGTTATAGTTTTATTGTGAAGCCGTGGTAATAGAAGTTTGGAAGTCTGAATTCACTCCTCCTTTCTCCCTTTATATTCCTGTGAACTGGGGAGGGGGTTGTCTGAGATATTTACACAGGTTACGTTCTTGCCCAGGATTCAGGCCCCTTTTAACTGATTGTTGCCTTGGCATCAGTTCTTCCTCCTGTCTGTTAAGGCCATTCCTTCATCCCTCTTCAGGCCTTCGGGTAATTTTGATAAACCTCAAGAATAGCTCAGCTCTTAATGGGCTGAAGGATGGCCAGGACCTTTACTTTATATCTCTTCTCTGTCCTACTGATCTAACAATTGAGCTCTTTTTGGACAAAGGCTTGCCAATCTTAAGAACACTGGTAGGCTGGTAAACATGTTCATCATTCTTTTTGTGACCTGGGCTTTCAGAAGATCAATAGACCTGTGTTCAAAAAAGAGCGTCCTACAGCACTGGCGACACAGGAATCAAAGGAGATGTATCCCTCTTTGCCTTTATTCTCCTCCCATTTCATGCATGGACTGACTCTCTGTTTTTGTTTTTTTTCATTTCAAGGCAGAAAAGGGTTGAATGTGCAGTCAACATTTCTCTAAGATAGCATATTTAATTTGGTTCCCAAACTTTACTGCTGCCATGTGTAGATGCAAACTATAAACCAGGGATGTCCAACCTTGGCAACTTTAAGACCTGTGGACTTCAACTTCCTGAATTCCCCACGCAGTCACTCCTGCTATAAACCAAAACCTCTAATTATAAAAATGTCTTCTTAACTCTTGTGAAAGTAATTTGCCCTTCAGCATCTTGTAGACTAATTTGAAAATGCTGGCTTTGTGGCCACTATCTTTACTCAGTTACAAAAAAAGGCTATGAACTCTACCATTTTCCATTCTCCTTCTATCCTTCAGAATTTTCATTTTTAGTATCTCATCTTCCAGACGCTGATTCTCTAGCTCAACAGACAAGAGTTCTGCATCCAAAGTTTTTGAGTTGAGACTATCTTCATATTCTGTAGAGATAGGAAGGAGACTCAATCAGAAGCAAGGAGAGCTACAAGTTGTGACTGAGGAAAGAAGCATTTGCTAAGATTTCAGATTTACAAGATCTATCAATAATTCAGCTTAAAGATTCACACATGCGTAATACATGAGTTTTCATAGGCAAGGTCATACTATCCAGTGGAAGGCAGTTTCCTCATAGACTGGGTTAAGACTTCACGTTAATCTTACTGCAATTTATTTGGTTTTGGCTTACCGTCTTGGATGAACCCAACCATTGAAGTTATAAATTATAGTTTAAGTTTGGGCATGTGGTATAAATCTAGTGATTATCTGTTAACGCTTTGCTGAGCTCAAGAGAGATGCAAACATTCTTGGCTTAAGTGTAGGATCAATATTCAAATTTGGGGTAAAGTTGATTGGGAAAACATAACTCACTTTTCTTTCTACCCCTTTGTTCAGGCTTTGTGCCATTTTTTTCCAGGGCTGAGGCCTCCAGCTGCAGTTCACACATCTGACGGAGGATGTGATGGTCACTGCCTCCATTCTGCAAGTAAGTCAGGTACAGCATCCTGTCAGGAATATGAACAGTCATCATCAAGAATTGTTACAATTTTTTCTCTATTTATATATTTAATAGTTGCATTCCCCAAAAATGCAACTTTTCATGGCACGGAGATAACTTGATGAAAAAGGATGCTTCTGTTCAGTTACTGCATTTCATGCAGCTGCTATAGGGTTTTGGTTAATTCACTGGTCCCACTGGGAATGGAGCTAAGCCTTCTCAAAATAGTAAAAAGTTTGTAATTTCAATTGTTGGAGACCACATTTTGTGTAGAAAATCAATTTAGGACATTTTGTCACTAGCAATTTGTGATATTTTATATTATTATTCAGCCATCATCATGTCAAGAAACATGAAAAGTACAGTTTTATATTGCCACAAGGTAGCTGAGTGATGCTAGAGAAAATGGCCTTAAGAGTTGCAGATGCAGGTTTGCTATGTGGTGGGAAAGTTTTATAGGCAGAAACAATTACAGATATAATAATTCCTATATACTCTGACTTTACAGAAACTATTATACTACATGTTCTTACAGTGTCTTCCAACTCACTGTATCTCAGAAGAGAGGGGCCCAACAGCTGCTGGAAACATCATAGACTTGAAGATGGCGTTCTTGTCCATTTTATTTACAGTGCTATCTGTCTTTCTATTGGTGGTAGACTCTAGATTGCTTCTAAAAATGAAAAAGGAGGCGCTTATTTATTTACTTATTAATTTTTATGCCACCTATTTCGCCTTTAAGGTGCTCAGGGTAGCTTACAAGAAAAATAATTAAAATATTTAAACTATGGAGATTAAACATTTAAAAACAATACAAAAACCAAAATTAAGACAGATGGCATAGAGATGAGGTCTTTTTACCTTATCAACAGCTCCAGAAGTGAGCACCCCTCTCAGAGCCCCAAGACAACTGGCAAAGTTTTAATGCTCTTCCAGAAGGCTAAAGGGGTAGGAACAGTTCTCATGTCTGGTGATAGAATGTTCCACAGGGATGGGGGCCAAAACGAAAAAGGCTCCTCTCCTTGACCTCACCTGTTGGAATTTCTTAGCAGGGAATTGGATGTTATACAAGGGCCTTTTTGCTTTCTCCATTCATTGGTGATGCTTATTTATGTTTTCAAGCACACTACAACACTCATATTACAAATTTCCAGACAAGTCTTATTAATATGGTTTGAACTATCTTTGATGTCCCACATAGTATGCACTAAAACACTGTCATATAAATCTTTTTTAAAATGTGTTCATTTCCAGAGTTCTCTGTCTTGGAGTCTTACCTGTTCTCTGTTGCTGCCTGCAGAAGTTTCACTTGTTCCCTCAGTGCATTCAAAGTCAACTTGTTCTTTTTTTCTTGGGTATTCAGCTCCATCAATAACTCTTCTATCTGAGATGAAGATGAATTTCCTAATTTCAGCTCTGACAGGCGTGTACGAATTTCTAGGTAAATACAAAATGGAACAAATTGGGCTGGAACAACTGCATCAATTAATGCAATGGTTACACACACACACACACGCACACACACACACGCACACACAATATTAGATGTGGAGTATGCCATTTTGCCTTAAAAATATATTGGAATCCTAATCCATTTAGCTCAGAAACACTTTCTACATGTTTCATTAATATATATTCTTCTGGCCTGTTTCTCAGAAGGAGTAGATTGTCAAACGCCAGGAAAATCAGGAGATCCTGACAGTTCAAATGGGTATAAGGATATATTGAAGCTTTATGAGCTCTCTGCAAGAATCTGAACTATCAACGGCCAAGAGAAATTAGCTGGAGATAAGAGTAGAAGGAATTCAAGGTGGGCTGGACTTAGAACTCTTGTGGGCATGAAGGGACTCATGACTGGTGATGCTTTTGACCCCTCCCTTGGGCTCAGCCTGGTCATCTCCTACATAGATCATATATATATATTGGGTATGTCTTTTGTGTTATTTTATATATATATATATATATATATATATATATATATATATATATATATATATATATATATATATATATATATATATATATATATATATATATATATATATATATATATATATATACATACACACATACCTATATATATATATATACATACACACATACCTATATATATATATACCTACCTCTCTCTATATATATATACCTACCTATGGTAGAGTACAAAAGTAAAGAACACCAGGAGAAAAAAGAGACTCTAAAAATATTTAATGGTTAAAACCAACAAGACAATGTTTTAACCATTAAATATTTTTTAGAGTCTCTTTTTTCTCCTGGTGTTCTTTACTTTTGTACTCTACTATGGATCCTCCCAGGAGTCATGGGTATGTCTTTTGTGTCATTTTTAATACCTACCTATATATATATATATACCTACATCTTAATCATATGACAACACTACAAGTAACTATTCAAATGATAAAGTAGTTCTCCATAAAGAAGACCACAGAAAGGTAATCTAACATGCTAGAGTAAAAGTTGGGTTTTGAATTTTTCTTCGTGAAATTGTAATTTATACATGTAGAGATCATTTGTTGCCTTTGGATTGAATAACTCTGATACACCACACTCAAACCTCCTCTTGAGGAGAACCAGGTCTCCTCTGTCTTTTGAGTTGGGAAATTCCATACATAAAATATCAGGTACAAGCATCATTGAGTTGGTATCCTTTGACTAATTGCTTCCTTCTCTTATCTGGTATACATGGCATAATTACCCTTGTGTGCTAGTCTCAAACACTTTTGGCTAAATGAAAGCCCATTTATCCTTCTTTATTACTTTTTTCTCCAATTCAGGTATCTCCTTAATATGAACCAGGAACAAAAGGATGACAATTCAGCAAAATCTCTAATTTTCAACTTACCATCTTTTTGCTGTTCCAGGTGTTGATTGCTAGCTTGGATTTCAGCCAACTGGCGCTCATGTGCATCTACTATTTGCCTTTGACGCTGACAGTATTCTTGCTGGTGAAGTATTTGGTTTTCATTCTAAGAGTCAGGGAAAGACACAAGATTCAAACAGTTGTTTCTTCTACAGCAAGAGCAAGGAATTGTAGTCCTCCAAAGATAGATGCTGAACCTTATGTTCCAACCTCCATCAACACTGACCATGCTGGTGGAATGTCTAGGAATTATAATGTAGCAACATCTGAAGCATAGCACCATTCATACCTAACATAAATTCAATTATTTCAGCGATGGCGAACCTTTTAGAGACCGAGTGCCCAAACTACAACCCAAAACCCACTTATGTATCGTCGGGTGCTGGGAGGGCGTGGTCAATTGGGTGGGTGTGGCCAATTGGATGGGTGTGGCTGTGGTGGTAAGGACAGACTGGGTGGAACTACAAAGTTCAATCAATCAATTCCAACTTTGCGAGATCTTTTTTTTCCCGCGAGAAGTTGAAATTAATTGATTGATTGAACCTTTTTTTTTCTGCACATGGTGGCAGAGGCCTAAAGCGAAAAGCTTTTACAAAACCCAGCTGAAGGCCTAGGACTGGGGAGATGCCGCACATGCCCACATTAAATATTATTAATTAAAATAATTGGCGGTCAATCACTAGACAAAGAAGGTGTATTTTTTAAAATACTAAAAAAGTGAGAGCAAGACACACCTTCCGGTTCAGTATAGAGTACCACATTAGAAGTGAGTGCATTTACATTCTGTTCTTACTTCCTACTATATTTGACAAAAAAAAAGCAATTAGAAAGAAATATTAATTACATCAGCATGAATGCTATATATCTGTCTCCCGGGCAAATGTGTACCCAAGAAAAAGGTGGTATGCATGAAAACCAGATCTTTTTAGTGGTATAGGTGAGGTAGTTTCTTCCATCGCATTGTACTAATTCTTTCAATACCACCTATTCAAGGTCCTGATTAGTTTTTAAATCTTTACTGCAGCCTTAAGAAAGCAAACGTCTTCTTAAGAATCACTTTATTATTTAAGTATGTTTACTGTAATATCCCTCTTTTTACTCTTTTGATTTGGGTGCAATACAGGTTTTATTTTCCAGTTTTGCACATGCTATATTTTGTGATATTTTTATGAAGTTACTCCACCATATAGTTTTGGCAATTATAAGCATATCACCATAATCCAAAATTGAAATAGCAGGAAGAGCAAGGATAGTAATTTGTGTTTAGCTGAAGCCTCAACATAAACTGAATATTTGTAATACATAATACTTACAAAAGTGAGTTTGGAGTAATTCCCCAAGGAACCGAAAAAACATACTATGTGAATTGTGGTTCTGTATTACACAGCTAATTATAAATATTATAATTATAATAATTAAATTATGGTGATAAGCTTGTAATTTAACACCATCAAAATCCACATCTGCCTATCCCACGTTCTTGGGAAAGATTTGAAAAAAATGCCAGATCCAGTCTGAACATCTGGCTGACTGTGCAAGGAATCATAACGATAATAATTTACAAAATAAACTGTAGCCCTAGTCCGACACAACAGAAAAACAGTGCTGCATAGATTTTTCTGAGTTTGTATTCCTGTATGTGTGATGTTATAAATCTCTTTTCAGCCCCCCCCAAATGTTAAATTTTTTCATGTTCATTTACCTGGAGTGTCCGAAATGTTGGAAGTGTGCCTTCAAGTGATATCCTCAATTTGTGGAACTGTAAAACAGAAAAATTACTAAATAGCATACTTCCTTTATAAATGTTGGTTAAAAAAACCACTGATTAATTCATTGCTATATCAAGATTCATACTTGAATACTATTAACTTATTTCATTTATCAGGAAATACCATGTAGTAGCAGTCTGTAGGAGAAATCTGAACTAGATGCTGGAAATTTGATATGCTAAAATTATCCAAAAGCCAAAGTACAGTTTAAAATGTCTAAGTCCTAAATCAGTTAATTACTCTGGTAGAGGTTGATGAGCTGATAGGAGCAGAGTCATCTATGAGAAAGACAAAGGTTTACCTCTTCGGTCAGTTTCTTCAAGGCCTGGTTATCTGAAACTCTTCCATTATCTTCGGAGCTTTGAACTTTATGGACTTGTTGTTCGTGTTCCCCATTCCCCTTGACATGTCTGAAATTGTCTTTTTCTGGCTTTGACACGGGAAGCTAATAATGTTGATCCATTAGATACCAGCAACCAAGAGAGAAAATAAATCAATACTGTATGACCAAGGTACATATTCAAGAAGGTTGGAATGTCTTTTATATATTAGCTATAGGTCCCATAATTGCCAGCCAGCAGTAGTCATGCTATACTTTCAAGAGGAAAACGAAATGTTTGTGAGAAGAAATTAAAAATTTGTCTACTACCACTAGTAGTAGTACTGTTAGTAATAGTAGTAATAGAATAAACAAATGCATGCATCTAATCTTTTCCTAATGCTTGGTTGCAATAAGGAGGTATTGAATGAAATTAATTTATTCAAGTATCAAGGGGGGCTCATAATCATTAGAGTGCCATAATTACAGACATATTGTATATGAGCACTACTACAATTCTCCTCCATTCCTGTGCCATTTTTTCTTCTAAACGTTTTAAAAAACTTATTTTACTTGATGACAAATTTAGCATTCCTATACTGAATAGCTGAAACATACAAGTACTTCCATGTGTTACTCCACTGACTGTTCCTTTGAAGACTCTCAAGTAGAAAATTTGGGTACCTAGAATAAAGGTTTTACAAGGAAAAACAAGACAATTTCATATAGGTGGTTATTCAGCATACAAAAACAAAACAATTTTATCTCCTACTAGTCTATCAGAAAAAAGTGCAGGTATAAAGTGCAGGATTATTATCAAGTCCATTATCAAGCAATCTCCTGCTCTCATCTTCAGGCCAATCAAAGTAACTTTCAAAATAATTTTCATTAATAAAAATCACGCCGTTCCTTTTACCATGCTGTCTGCCATTTCTGTTTTCTTGGGCTCTTTCCCTTTACGCTGTGCCTGCCTGTGCCAGTATTTTATATGCATTGCCATTTCTCGTCCAATGCAGAATTTTTCGGTGTGCTTCTCTAGCAGTCGTCTGGAACGGAACCCCATCTCACAGTTACGACAGTGAAAAAATGCTATATCTGTCATTTTGAAAAGCGTTTCCAGATATTTACAAAGGGTTATATTTATCAGTATCTGAAAGGTACTGGCTACTCATATTTCCTTGTAGGAAAGAACTGTAGTATCATTTGGAGTTTCAGTTGCTATGCTATGCTGGTAGTTATGGGGTGTAACCATCCTGACAAAATAATAGAAGATTGCACATAGTAGTTTGAAATATTACCATGCCAGTTATTACTGTTTATGTTTGTAATTGCCAGGGTTACAATGAGCAGTCTTCCCAACTTGTATCCTTTGGCCAAGCTGGCTAGAATTCTAGAAGGTGCCGTTCCAGTGTGCGTGAACATTATTAGTTTGCAGAAAGCTGACTCAGGAATTTGTAATGGAGGGGGATTTTTTTTATTGGCTATTCTCTGGAAGATGACAATGGTACACATAACCATTGGACAACTAGATGCTTTCGCAGTCCTATTATTTTACATCTAGAATCTCTATATTTAATACTTCAACACTGCAAGCTGGCATGCCTGGAATAGGCATGGGATGACATCTATACTGATAAAATCCAAATCCTGAGGAAGAATAAATGTGATGCATAATATGAAAGAAAGTGCATCGTTAGTGTTATTCAATGTATTAGACAATAGTAAACAATAATGCTGCTTGTTTAGTTTTCATATAGAATGTTGCATGAACTCTGTTGAAGTTTGCAAAATTATTCAGTTTAGTATGAATTCAGCCAATTGTGTCTTGTTCAAGTCATAGCTTAGCGCAATATATGAACCTGTCATGCCCAGAAAATCAGCCATGGAATCTGAGAATAATTGGAGAAGCAGAAGCAATGGAAAAAAGCTAGCATTTTATATAAACAAATTTATTAACTATTAGACGTGCAGATGGCAACTATAGAGCTATGAGGCGTTTGGTAGAAAAGCTAATAAAAAGCTTTACTCCTTTGTAGACATAACTCTAGCCTATCTAGTTCTTTCTTCTGGTGGAACCAATTAAAGCATCCCCAATGTATTCAGGGTCCTCAAAATTATAGTCCAAACTTTATTCTGTTTGTTAAAGCAAATAATACTTTCCAGCAGCCAGTGAGTGTATTGGTTATGAATGATCTTCAACAAGCCTTAGTTAGTTGCAAGTACGATTTCCTTCTCTCTGGGTCTCCATGGTGATGAGCCGAACAGCAGTAAAGCCAGAGGAGAAAATTAATCAGCTTGTCTGTAATAGTAGGTAGATTCAAATGTCAGAAAAAGGCTTTGAAGAGTCACATGAGGACAGCACAAGGACGTGTGAGCTTGGCAATCAATTTTCTGATGACATTCTTTTATACCAACATCTAATGTTGGCGTATGTTTGAAATCCACTTAATTAAAATAACAATGCAACTACGATTTTTTTTTATATTTCAAGAAAACTGAAAATTTTTTTCATAAATTTTAACATGTCAGAGTTATATATGCCTGGAAAGGAGTTATATGTATTTTAATAAATGTGCCAGCATTTTCTTTCCCCGAAAATGATACTAATTTTGACTTCATTTATTTTTTTCCTGTTTAAAGACCAATAAAACATGAGTAATATTGGTAAAAACCGGGATATTTCTATAAAGATTTTAAAAGAAAAAATAACAAAATATCCCCAATTTTTTAAAATTACCGACCACCAGCCATCAAATGCATCCCCTTATAGATGACACGGTTTACAAATACCACGAGAACAATAAGTGGTTTAATTTCTTAGGGGACTACCACTTCCTGTACTGTCTGTATCAGACTGGAATCGATTTTAACCAACTTTTGCTACCAAGTCTCTCTGGGAAATGTAGTTTTCAAGTAGACAAATGGACAACGAGAGGATCTCCCACTGCATGCTGGGAGGTGTAGTTCTTGCAAACGGTTGAGGTCTCCCGACGGACGTAGTTTCCCGGCAGCCTTTTCGGCGCGCCCCATTCAAAGCGGCGGCAGTTGGTTGAGTGCTCTTGTGCGGTATCGGGTTTATTTTGAAAGAGGGGTTGCTAGTTTGCAGACGTCTGAGATTCCTCTGGTAGTATAATATGGATTCCAACATTTACAAGTGCCTTCAGCCTGGGTTGTCGATTAATATCGAACGCAGCAATGGTGAGTGCCGAGAGGAGAAATGCGATTTGTTTTGGAGTGTCTTTTGCCTCCTTCCGTAAGCCTGGATGTTCCCTGGAGGCTCCGTGAGATTAATGCTCATGCGTTAATCGCTTGTCTGTAATGCAGGAAAATGGTGTGGCCGGACTAAATTCCAGACTGTTCCCCTCTCCGGGTTCTTCAGGACAGAAGAGTTGTGCTTTTCCCTTGCTGTCCCCTCGGCTGCTTCTGAGTCAAAGAAGCAACTTAAAACTCCCGTTTTGCCCAATGTTACTCGCTGGGACTGGCTAGTGCCGGGGTAGGCAACCTTGGCTCTTTTATGACTCGTGGACTTCAACTCCCAGNTCCCGTGGGCTAGTGGGTTGAGCGTGTGCTGAGCAGTATCTCCATGTGGCTCGCTCCTTGGTGCTTAGAACAAGGGTTGGAGAACTATGGTCCTTTTATGACTTGTGGACTTCAACTCCCAGCATTCCTGAGCTAGCCATGCTGGCTCAGGAATTCTGGGAGTTGAAGTCCACGAGTCATAAAAGAGCCAAGGTTGCCTACCCATGGGCTAGCGTGTTGAGCGTGTGCTGAGCAGTATCTCCATGTGGCTCGCTCCTTGGTGCTTAGAACAAGGGTTGGAGAACTATGGTCCTTTTATGACTTGTGGACTTCAACTCCCAGCATTCCTGAGACAGCCATGCTGGCTCAGGAATTCTGGGAGTTGAAGTCCACGAGTCATAAAAGAGCCAAGGTTGCCTACCCGTGGGCTAGCGGGTTGAGCGTGTGCTGAGCAGTATCTCCATGTGGCTCGCTTCTTGGTGCTTAGAACAAGGGTTGGAGAACTATGGTCCTTTTATGACTTGTGGACTTCAACTCCCAGAATTCCTGAGACAGCCATGCTGCCTCAGGAATTCTGGGAGTTGAAGTCCACAAGTCATAAAGGGGCCATATTTCTCCACCTCTGTTTTAGAACAACCGTGCGATAATTTCCGATGAAAATTTCATTGATACTTATTTTTTTTCTCTTGCAGAACATACAAAAACATGGCCTGCATATCATTGTTTAATATTCAGAATCTTCGGAGGGTGTATTGTTTTCAGCTGGAGATGATAATTATATAGGTGCTGTGGATAACACTTGCAAATAACTGGCTTTTTCACAAGGAGATTCACTTATACTCCCTGTGGGGTGAACTGAAAAGAGCCAGATCAGTGTTCTAGATTTCATGAGAAGTGACTTTAAGCTAAGGGGGGAAAAATAGGAATGATTTCACGGGTAGGAATTCTGAGGGGAAAGCCAATTTAGGAAGGTTGAGAAATCACATGACTGCATTTTGGGTGCTTGGCATCTGGTCAACATTTATGGCCATTTGCAGTATCCCGACCACAATTTACGAATTTTGGGCCAGAAACCGGCATTTACCTCCAGTTTCTGGATAAAAAAGACCATTGTGGATGAAATGGGACAACGCATCACAGCCAACTTGCTGTGGCCAACTCTCTATGGGACAATTTGCCATGGTCAACTTGCCATGGGACAACTTGTGGCAGAACAATTTAACAATTCAGTTCAATTATTTAAAATAAATTATTTTAATTTTAGTCATTCACATTTCATCCTCCTTTTGCATCCTTTCTTTAATGGATTTATTCCACCATTTCTTTGGTATTAGTGTAACTCTTGTCCCACAGTGAATTGTCCCATGGAGAATAGGCTGTGGCAATTTGTTCCACGGCAAGTTGGCTGTGATGAATTGACTGTGGCGAGTTGGCCATGGCGAATTGTCATAGACTCATGTTATTTTTTATTTCATATTAACTAACCTTTATGAAAATTTCCTTCTCTTATTTTCTAGCCCTTATTATAGTACTTTTCTGAAATATCTTTTATACATACACACAATTAATATAAATATAATATAATAAAATAAATATAATAAAATATAAATATTGTATTTTAGGTTCAGTCCATGGTGCAACTATCAAAAGTGTAAATCTGGAAAAAATGACTGTATCTGTAGAATGGACTGAAAACAACAGTCTCAAAGGGAAAGAGGTGAGTATTTGAAACTATGACCTATTTAGCACACTTTTCTTCCTTAATTATGAGTTGCAGCCTGCCTCAAATCATCTATAAAACAGGTTTATGTAGAATGAGTAAAATGAGTCTAACTGGAAATTATTAAATATCTATTGTCCACAGCTATTCTTTTCTTATTTCATAATGGGAAGAGCGTTTTTTCATTCTTTTTGTTGAAGACCAACTAAATAGCAGTTTCTCTAAAAATATTGACATTTTCTTATTGGAAATTTTAAATGGCAGTGTATTTTAAGGAATCATAAAACTGTACATTGCTGAGATTGCTACAAGATAAAGCATACATAAATGTTTTATGTCAAATGAATTTGAGTACAGGTAGTCCTCAACTTATGACCACAATTAAGCCCAAAATTTATGTTGCTAAGTGAGAAATGTGTTAAGTGAGTTTTGCCCCATTTTATAACTTTTCTTGCCACATTTTTTTTTTTCCCCCAAGTATAAATTTTTTATTATTTTCATCATAAAAAAAACATCACAAGTATATCACAATGTTTTAAAAAATCTTGCCACATTTGTTAACTGACAACTGCAGTTGTTAAATTAGTTGTTAAGTGAATCTGGCTTCCCCATGGACTTTGCTTGTCAGAAGGTTGCAAAAGGTGATCACATGACCCAGGGACATTGCAACCATCATAAATGTGAGTCAGTTGTTAAGCATCCGAATGTAAATCATGTGACGATGGAGATGCTGCAATGGTCATAAGTCTGAAAAATGGTCATAAATCCACTTTTTTCAGTGCCCCAAAACTTCGGTCACTGAGTGTTGTAAGTCGAGGACTACCTATATTCCATGAAGAGACAAAGTCCTTAAAAAAACAGAGATACAGCTTCTAAAAGCCATGGATAGAGTCTCCAGAATTATTTCAAAAGTTGCCACCAAATTTATAATTTAAATTAAGAAGAAAAAAATTTG